TCCATAAAAGAACAAAACATTAAGGTTTTGAGCTTTTTAAGTATTTGCTCATGAACTACATTTATAAACTACTTCTGATGAAGGAGCATCTTCAAATGTCGTTAAATCAAATAAAATAAACCTTTTTTTTTTTTACATCCATGAAGCTGTCACTACAAACTTGGACCAGTAGATGTCAGCATAGTTTCAGAGAACAGCTGTAGAACTGAGCTCTATGGGGTCAACTCTCCTGTTGAAGTGTTTCCTGGCAACTAGATGTGCCTTTGTGATATTTATGAGTCTATTTGTCACCGGCTTTGCAGCAGTGTCACTTTGTTTCTGACTGCTTTTGCTTTGTATTCCCTCTGCGCAGGAAGGAAGCATGAAAACTGCACTGAACGCCCATAACAGCTGAATGAGGTTTAAAGTGTAAAACTCAGCTTCATCATTCAATAATGAAACCGAACAAAGTAAGAAACATTTGATTTAACTGAATTAGTAATAAAGTGTGTAGATAATCACAACTGATAGCGGATCCAATGATGCTGTAACATTAAGCCTACGGAACAGATAACCTCAGATTAGTCTATGGCTGTGAGGTGAACTAGTTGCAGCTGCTATAAACCCACTGCTCTTTAACCCGGTTACACGTCACAGTGAACTGCATTGATTAGAAGGTGCTGAATTAGGTCAGCACTTCACAGACCCATAGAGTGATAAACCTGATAGGAACACAACGATTTGGTTTTAATTGTGTGTCCTGAGTCGGTCACAGCTGTGATCTCAGGCCTGTTGGCAGTGGTAGGTTAAAGTGCAGCGAGCAGCTATCTCTGTGTGAGCAGTAAAGTTGTATTGCTTCTATGTCAGGAGTCGCTTTCACTGTCTGAACATAGTTTTTTCTTCAGGCCCTAAAGTCAACGTGTAAGAGATCCTGGTCTCAGAAGCTGTGTTTATCCCTGTGTGTTTTTTACTCTTGACAATGGATGGGTTGTCTTCTTTTCTGCAGATGTCTCAACAGCTATTTGATGCATCGCCATGAAAATGAGTGCAGACACCCATGTTCATGCTCCCCTCAGGATGAACCACAGTGAGGCTGACTACTTAACTTTTAATCTTTAGTCCCATTATCAGCTCCAACGCTTTGTCCTATCTTTGGTTTATGACCAAATGCCAACAAATGACAGTCCTGCTAGTCTCAGATGTAATTCAGGGCTAAACATCAGTGATTACATCATGAGTATGATGTCACATTAGCATTAGCTAACATGGACTTCAGTCTCACAGAGCAGAAGTAGCTTAGATTAGTGGTTTATTAAAAGTTTATATTATTTGTATTTAATTAAAATCCTGTAAGTCTTTAATATGTTTGTTTTTTCTTGTCACATACATGGACTGGATATTGGATTTTTTTGGTACCAGTCAAAACACTATTATTCTATTTTTCTACAGAATCCAATCAAAATATAAAGTTAAAATAAAGAGGTATTTATAAGACTTGTGTTAGTCTTCATCCTCAAGGTTAAACACAAAGCCTGTGTAGTCTATTATCGCTCCAGACTCTAAATATAACTACAACAATCTCTAAAGGTGACGTGCCAACATTGACACTTGAAATTCTCTGCATAGGGAACATTGTGGAGCCTGTTTCTGTGGCCGGCTGGTGCACACACATGTGCACATAGACAAAACACCCACACACACACACACACACAGAGGAAACATTTCAAACACATCCAGCAGAGTGGTGTTTCCCTCGGCGGTGTGTGTCACAGGTCCAAGCAGATGTGAGAACCACATGGCTGTGGGCGCACATGAAGATGGTGAGACTCTTTGATGCTCTTCTCCTGGCACGAGTTGAAATGATGGCAACTTAAATATTCCATTTGTTTTATCCCTCTATGTGATCCTGATAATCAGGAGGAAGGAGGATCTTCACCGTCAGGGAACACGAGCAGCTTGGCGTTGTGAAATGAAAACTAGTAAGTTGCAGCCAGAGGACGACGTCAAGCAGAAGATAGATGCTCATTATTGTCTTCACTCTATCCTGAATAGGTAGAAGTGTAAAGATAACAAGCTCAAACTGCAGAGAAGTAGGTCAAAGATCATGAACTAAAAAACACAGCAGAGACACTTACTCTGGTTATTTATGCTCCTGTTTTCTTACATGGACGTCCCTCCTCTCGTCTGGCTGGGTCACATAAGTTTCATACACACAGTCCTACTTCTACAATGCTGAAGTAATGTGTGGCTCCAACTATTGTTCATCTCCTGTAGAGGTTAAAAAACATCTTTGTGTGTTGACCTGTCGTCTGTAGATCACCGGATGTTCATACAGTCACAACTCACCATAAAACTGTAATTGTCATTTGTTCCCCGGCTCAGTATCTATACATTACCTTCACAGAGGAGGTCATGTTTTCACCCTGGTCTGTTTACATTAAGCAAAAACTACTGAACACATTTCCTTCAGGCTTCATGGGAGGATGTGGTGTTTGTCAATCTGGATCAGATGGCGGATATTTTTAACACAATGTGAGATTTGGTGTTTTTCAACACTTTCTTTGATTTCTCAGAGAATCTCAAAAACATGAGTATGTTTTATGGGTTGGTTTTGATGAGTATGCAAAGAAACTTCAATCTAAACCCCTCAGTTCTCATTTTCTATTTCTCCTCCGATGTTCCCTCTCCCCACTTCAACCATCCACATCTTGTTGGTCCTTTCTCAACACAGGATTAATGCAACTGTGTGTAGTTGGATTAGATACATTTGAGATTATTGTGACAAAAAAAAAACTGTTCTCAGATTTTCACATTTCAAAGAGCTTATGTCTTATGTATCATAATACTGCAGGCGTTTCAACTTGTTCTCCTGATGTGACGTTTCCTGTTTTTCTTTCAGATATAAATTAATGCTTCAACTCTGCAGAGGTCACGACATCATCCTGTCAGTGTCGACACACGTCACTGTTCTGAAGCCAGATCTCTTTTATTCCACCTCCTTGAATCTTGAGGATAAAGTTTAACTTCACAGTCATTTGATCCGATGCTGCTTATTGAGTTCTGCATGGCTGACTTCTAATGGCAGCCTTCTTCATATGTGCCCCCCCTCCCTGTCAACATTGTCCTTGGAGTTTGTTTAATGGCACCGATGCCTGAGAGAGAGAAGACAGATAAGAGAAGAAAGAGGAAAGGGAGAAGCCTTCTCCTGCAGAAGGTCACAGAGAGACAGAAGGGTTCAAAGTCAGATAAATAAGCAGCTGCTGTTCTCTCATGTATTTCCAGACTTTAAAATCACAGTCCAGCGGAGCTTGTCATTTCTCATCAACAGGAAGAACCACAGTACCACAGACGGTGCAACTTTCAGCAGCCTCTCCCAGCCTGATGACGGCAAATGACACATTGACCTTTCAGTGTTGCATCCACCTGGGGTGTTGCTGTGGAAACTGGAGGACCGATGTCAAGGCAGGTATCCACCTGACACAGCCTCACACGCCTGTTGTTGTTTTTAGATCTTCTCCTCACCATCATGATTGGCCTGGTTTCATCAAGAGGTAAACTGATTGAGTTTCCAGAGTCAAACCAGATGTCGTGACTGATCAGTTCATGTTTAAAAGGACGTCATGTGGTTTTACTGTGTAAGACTTCCAAGCATCTGTCAGTAAATCTGCTCACTGGAGCAAAGGCCTGAAGTGGTTCCCAAAACTCCTTGTTACCTCCACCAAGAAGGTTATATTTGTATTATTGTTAGTTACCAGGATGATATAAAAAAATGATTGCCAGGAAATTTTGTGGAGGGGTGGGTGATTTTAAAGCTTCTGCATAAGTTTCATTTCAGAAGAACAAAACAAGTTTCACAATCAGTTTGTTTTTAAAAAACAACTTTATTAATACTTTCTCTTTTGTTAAAAGCAGAATATATATAAAAAAAAGATTTAATCCTTAGAGTTATCTTACAGAGCATATAGCGGCTTTTGCTTCAGAAAACAGAAACAAATTGCTACTTGTACAATGTGAAAAATAAAAGTCCTTCCCCTGCAGTGACTGAGCTTAATCAAGTCAGCGTTTTTTTCTTACTAGAAAAAAAAGCAAGTCTATGGAAAATGTATAACAAACAGTGCTGCTGCTACATTAAGGCCAAATCCCCTACAGACAAAACGTTCCTTGGTAAAGTGACAATGTTGTTTTTTTTCCTTTTTATTTTAAATATATAGCATTTTGAAATTAAATAAAACTTAATGAGCTTTTCAAAAAGGAAAGCAAGTATTGCACAGGCAGATCTCCTAGTACCCTTTAAAAAAATATCAAAAATAACTCACTAGTACACCCAGAGAAGAAAACAATATCAGGATTTCAGAGGAAGCAGCTGCTCTGGACGGTTTTGTTCATAAAAAACCAAAAAAAAGCCTGCGTCTGCTGAGAAAATGATGTTAATTTCTACAGAGACGTGTAAAAGGTGCAGGATTCTATGAACCCAGGCCTGTTTTGGACAAAAGTGGCAGTAAATCACCAAGACCCGTTTCAAGGTGATGGAGTGTTAGCGAGATACAGCTCTGTTTGGGCTAAAATAACCTACAAGACCACCAAACAAGGCAACGGTGGTCCCATCACATATTATAGTACACAGTGCTACATCCAGAGCGGCGCTGCTTCGCCTCCAAATCCATCCTCATTAGCTTTGGAAAATATTGGACATGAAAAACAAATGAGAAATAAAATCTAAGAAAAATAAATGATTTCACTCTGTTAGACCATAAAATTCAGTTCAGTTTTTTTTAAAAAAGTCAGGAAGCTTTAAAATGAAAAATAAATAATTGTGGACAGTTCTGCTGGTGTAAAGAGACGTTCAGCGTATGGTTCGGGTTTGGGACTAGGAGCCTGATATGGACCAAATAATAAAAAATCTAAAGCATAATTCACAAACATAAGAATGTTTCTTTCTGTATCAGATCAACTGATGCAACAATTCAATAAACACGGACAGTAAGAGTCTAATCTAAAATCATACTGCGGCAAGGGACGATGATGTTTAAAATAAAAAAAGGATTTGGACAGAATGATACACAACAAACGGCAAAGGTATTAAGAAACAACCAAACAGTTTCGTCCAGAGTGAAAAATAATAATAAAGCACTCAGTCACACACACGCGCTGAGGGAGTGGTACGAGTGTGTTGATCTTTGATTATGCTTAGAGTCTATGTGTGATAGTTCCAGACAGGAAATGCTGATGGATCCAGAATCTGGCTGGTTTCAGCTTCAGAGTGGTCACGATGGAGTTTGGTGTTTTTTATAGCGGAGTCGTCTTTATGTGTGGTAGATCTTATGTTCGTACTCTGTGGCGCTGCAGGTGTGAGGGGACACTGGCTCTCTGTGGATGGGTGTCGGGATGCTGCTGTGGTGCTGGTGGTTGTCGGTCAGCGTCAGGTTGAGCAGGCTGGTGCAGGTGGGCAGGTAGACGTGCTGCACGTGCTCCACGTCGCACCGACACACAGGACACAACTGAGGGAAGAGAAATGAGAGGGTTAAGATAGTGTGTGACAGGGTGGTCAGCAAGACATTTAAAAGACTTTAACACCGTAATGGATTAAATTTAAGACGTATGTCAAGTACCACGGATATGAAGGAACATACGAGTCCCAGGAATATGTCACTATAATTAAAGATAAGGTGAAGTAGCCTAGTAGAGAATAACCCTGGAAACACCACGCCATCATCTTTCTTACAGCCGAGCTGAGTGTGCTGCTATAAATTCTGACCAAGCTGTTAGTAGAATCAATCATCAGTTCCATGTTGGTCTTGTTTGTAGCTTTATTACAACGTGTGAATATCTGTATTGCTGAGAAAGCACTACAACTAGCCAAAATAGTATTTTTAGTTAATAAATGTAATTTAAAGGGGGATGGAAATAGCGTTAAATGGACATTAATATGATTATGACCTACCTTAACACATTTAAGGGTTAGTTTAGTATATAATATCTTAACATATTAGAAGACATAAAGATTCAGATTCAATTTACGACTTTTTAACAACTTGCAGAAACTTTAGAATTAGTATTTTACAACTGAATATTAGCTCACCATCAGAAATCTGTGTTTTTAACATGCTTGGTTGGATGTGATACAAGTGATCACTCATGCTTTTAGCCAGATTTTAAGTGGTCCAACTAATGAATTAATACTCTGGATCCTTTAGGGGCCCATTACCCTTTGGCAATAAATGATATTCTGCTTATCCAGGAAATTTTGCATTGAATCTTAATAAGAGCTCGTAAAATAAGACTTCATCACACACACGAGGCAAATCGCCAAACCAGCGGGTGCTAGAGAAGTATGTGACCACATCAGACAGTTGTGAGAGTCAAGTCGACTCATTCAGGCAAATTATTAGGCATCTCTCAGGTTATTAAACAAATATTAATACATTTGTTATAATGAGATTGTCCTTCTCTTGTCCTGAGTTTCTACTGACTCATTCGCACGTCTGTAAGCTTGGTCACGTTTCCTCGTTGAGTTGGAGAAAAGATTTGCCCGGCTGCTATAATCCCCTCATAAAGACGCACTCACGCACACACAATCTGCTTCCACAAAGACTGGCAACATTTAGCTGATTAAGTGAGGGGACAATCAGGTCAGCAGAGTGTAAGCAAAGCTTTGGATGTTGCTTAAAAGGCCATAAAAGGATGAGAGGCTGGAACTGAAGTGTAATTAAAAAGCTTTGGTTATAACTGCGAACACAAATCATGCACAGTGTCTCAAGTCAAGAACCAAACAAAAAAACAAAGAGCTCGAAATCCTTTCAAGCTCTTGCCTGATTTGCTAATTAACGTTTATAAAGTAGGTAGTGTTGACGTCAGCATTAATTCTCAAGCCTCACCTGAAGCTGATTTGCACACGTCTGGCAGCACACCATGTGGCCGCAGGGACAGAACGCTGCGTCAATCTCCTCCTCGCAGCACAGCATGCACAGCAGAGCCTCCCGGAGCTTCTGCAGCCTCTCCTGCAGCGCTCTGCTCTGCTGGCAGCTGCCACAGTCCAGCCCCTCGTCCTGCTGGTCGTCCCTGCTCGGGGAGCGCGAGGGAGACGAGCCTTCGCGGCTGCCGGAGCGGGACACCAGGTCCGAGACGCCGGAGTTGTAGAGCGTGCGGCGGGCGTGGTCGTACACTTCCTTGGAGGTGCGGCGGATGTCGAACACGTATTTCTTGCCCAGGTTGATGTTTTCGTTGAGGAAGAGTGAAGCCAGGTGGCCCTTAAAGTCTCTGCTGTACTGCATCATGACAGCGTTTGTTACTGTGTCACACCTGGAAATGAAAACAACAATTCATCCTTTAAAAAAAAATATTTGGATGTGATACTTAAATCTGCAGTGTTTGACCCGATACATCCAAATCCACTAATGGATCTCTCTTATATCATTTCCTGTGTGTCTTTATTTAACGCCCCCCTTGCACTGTTTATATAGATGACCCCTCGTGTTTGTACTGTTCTGATGCCACATTCACCACAGTGAGACAAACACTTATTTCTGAGCAAGCAGCTGAAGACATGCCAGCAAAAATGAAAAATCTGCAGACTCTGAGCTAAAACCCATCCCTGAAACAAAAGAACTCAGCTGTCTATTGTACCTTTTGACTGAGAACAATTTCAGAGCTCAGCCATTTGAATTGTCCGTGGTCAATGCAAATTTGACACGAGCGCACACAAAGACACTATGGAAAGGAAAATGCCCTTTTTTCTCTTTTCACTAGAGATTGTCATGTGCCAAGTAGAACTGAATAAGGTCAGGTTTTCCCCCACCATTCATTATCTATGAGAACAGATAGCAATAAACTGGAAATTAATTTATTTTATTTTATTATCTTTGCTCACCTCATGAGGTGAGCTTAAGTCAACTGACTCCAACTGTCTAGTAATTTAAAGGCAGTATTGATTTATTGGAGGATATGAGAGTCACTGATCTGGGGTTAAACACCGTTCGTCCTTGGCTGCTCCTCACCTGTAGAAGGCATGAGTCTCTGTGATGGCCCGGTACAGACCGCTGGCTGCTCGGTTACTGATGAGCTTGAACAGAAGCACCACGCTGTCATTTGTGTCCTTGGTAACCGTCAGATACACACTCTTCCCCGACTGGGTGGCGATCTGAATGATGGGATAGCTTACTCTAACAAAAGCACAAAGAGAGAAGATTGTTTCAGACAAAATCCTGCAACGTGTGTGTTTGCAGTGCAACATCAAACATTCCATAGTTTTAAACAGGATAACATCAAGGCAGCACACCTGTTGACTAAGCTGAAGTCCTCCTTGCAAATGGCAATTCCCTCTGGGCCGACTCCGATGGCCATCCGCTCACCGTGTGCGTCCCGAGCCCAGTGCCACTCCACGCCGTAATGCTCCAGAGAGGAGACCAGCTGCAGAGCCTGATACTCCACCGAGCCTGGACTCGAACCTTCTAGAGCTTTATGTCTGGATATGACACTGCAGCGGGGGGAGAAGAGACAGAGAAAGGCGACCATTTAAGTTTCTTTCACTCTATATTCCTGACACAAGCTTTATCATACAGATGATCTTACATAAAGGAACATACACTGCACGGTTGAACATGCCTGCAGGCGGCGAGTGCTAACATTAAAGTGGTACATTGATGGGATATGTATAATGACACATATGTACACACTTTTGATCCACAGTTGAAACAAGAGTCTTTGAAAGTTAAAGAATTTAGCTACTTGGGGAATTCACAACATGCCCCTGCATTCATAACAAGCTGAGGTTAAGCGTAGGTGCAGCAGTGAATGGCCGTGCCTTCTGTCTCAATACAGCATATGGATGAAGTTTAATGTAGCGTGTTTGGCAGATGGGGATTGAGAGTGTATAATTCAAGAGGCGGAACATTTGAGGAACAGCGCCATGCGCCCACCAAATGGTTCCAGAAGGCACTTCAAATGGAAATGCGCGGAAGTTCCTGGATAAAGGCCCAGAGACCTGGAGGCAGGACGGGCTCTTCAGTGGAGAGGGATATCGAGGGATAGTGCATAGTCTGAAGGAGAACCTGTTAAATTCTAGGGGTGGATTCGGACAAAGAGGTGTATCCATGATTTTCTTTAACGTGGGGGCATTCATTTATCAATCTTCATGTGGAAAAAAAAAATCTGGCATATTATGGGGCCGGATATCTATGATTGTGTGCAATTTGTTGCAGATTTGTTGAATTAAGGGAACTGTTGAGCCTTGGCAGGGGTATTTCATTCTAGTTCACAATGCAATGGGATCCCTGTTGACAAAATCTAGAAACCTAGAAATTTCACCATCCTCTTTCGGTTTCCTGAGAAACCATTCAAAAGTACAGTGGGGGCTTTTTGTCTGAGGTGTTCTGCAAACACGTGCTTATCTGATCTCCTGTCAGCTGCTCTGTTTGACTGGTGTGTGTGTGTGTGCGTGTGTGTGTGTGAGAGCTGTCAAACAGGTTTCACACATACGCACACACAGTCTTATCTAAAATTTGTCGCCTCAGATATAAAAAAGTTACTGTGGCTTACAAAGCAGACATGACAAAAAGGAAGAACTGTCAGTTCAAATCAGGAGCTTTTTTAATACTTCTTCTAAAAATGTCCTTTTCTTGAACAGCTGACACATTATACAGTTCACAGATAATTGCTATGATGCATTATTTCCTTTTCAAGATTATAAACTATGTGATGAACCTCTTCTTAGCTGTCAGCTTTGATTAGATTCCTCATACCGCTTTTACACCAAAAGTAGTGGGTGCATGCGTGTTTTTGAAATGTGGGTAAACCTGCCAAAAAAGGCAATTCATTCCTTTGCCATTGCAAACAAAAGCCAGATGTTAGACAGTGTTATTGGGTTTTTGACCGGTGGAAAAGGGTCTTTGTACCTGTTGATGGTGGCAGTGCTGGGCTCCTCTCCACACAGCTTTGAGTAGCAGTACTGCGCCGTGTTTTGGTTGTAGTCGCCAAACTCCGCCTGTGCCAGGAGCGCGCTCAGCTCCTCCGCTTGTTCCGAGCCCATACGTAGGTGACCGTTATAGAGGTCCTCCTTCACGTGCATGAAGAAAACATGTCTGGTGGAGAGAAAACATAACAAGGGTCAAAATGCAATTCTTTATGATTGTGAAGGCATTGAACTAAATTACAAAATACAAGACATCACAAATATGTTTTTTCCTCCGACCAGTGTTTCATGTGTAATGGTTGAGGAGTCACGACGTCTGGGGGCGAACACAGACTCCAGCAGGTGGTCAATACAGGGGTAGAATTTCACCACAGACGGCAGGTGTGTGTGTTTGTGTGTGTGGGGGGGTTGTTGCAGAAGGAAAAAGGCAACTGAGATATTTGTTCAGTTGTCGCAGCGGGTACACTTTTGCTTTTTCAATCTTTTCCTCAAAACACACAAGAACAGCTTCCTATGTAAGAGTGAATTCACTAAAGGATCTGAAAGTAGAAGTAAAGAGAGGAAGAGACAATATACGACTACATCACATGTTTCTGCTGTATAGAAAACACTTGGATAATTAACCTGATGACCAACTGAGCCTGTACAATATCTGCTGAGTCACCACAGTGCACTGTTGAGAGTCCAAATAAATGCAGTAATGGGAGTCGATTGCCGTATAAATATCTTGTAGTTTAATATCATGCAATATTATTTAAAGGCAAACCAAGTTACAAATAATCTTGTATCACCAGACACAAGGAAAATCTCCCAGTTCAAAATAAAGTGGGCGTATGAAGTGATGGTCAGGGAAAATAGTTCAAAGATTATTAGTGGTCAAAAGCAACTTTTGTTGTTATTTGGGCCGAAGGATTAAAATCGGAACATTGAGTTCTAGTGTGGCCAAGAAAAACATCTAAATTCTCAAAAAACAGGAGCTACAGCAGATCAGGGCCTTTCCATTGTTTTGACCAGGAGATGTGAGGAATTCTTTCTGAGCAGCAGCAGGAGACAAACGTCAAAAGGACTAACACCCTGACTGACTCCTTGCATCATGAGGAACGCTGAACTCTAGTAACCTGAGCACATGACCTGTGGCACAGCCACCTTAAGGAGATTGTACAGGCACTGGCCTGCTTAAGGATACCTGCTGCTGCTGCGACCACAAACCTGCCCAGCAGCTTTCTCCCTGCTGGTGACCATGGTGACCAGACTTCCTTCATTTTAAAATCATGACATCATTCAATTCCATTTTCTCCCATCGCCCGAAATAACCAGTGCAACACAGTGACATAAACAAACCTCCCTGCTCACACAATGTATGCTCTGTATCTACAATCACTTTGAATCCATCTATTGAAAAGAAATCAACTGAATGACTTCAGCGTACTTTTCTGACAGGTTTTGCTGTGACTAATCTAGCCCACCACAGACTGAGGCAAACCATCTGAAACTGCTCATTTCCATGCAAAAATCCCCCTTGAGCTACTGCAAATGACAGCACATCACTTTAGGATACTTGTTTAAAGGACACTTTGAGTGGACGTAGCACGTACAACATTATTCATTATAATACAATACAATTATTATCATATAATAATATTGTAAGTATTATAATAATAATACAGCATTCATAAACATATACAACATTTACATAAGCCCATCTTGATAAACTGCCTCTTGGGAACCAGCTGCTGATGCTTCCTCTGTCATCTTCTGGGGCCAAAAACCAGACTCTTGAGGGAGTGGCGGACCCCTGTCGGCTGTAAACGCACGTGTGCTGTGCAACCACTTCAGTGTGCAACAACACGGACACGCCTCGTCCAACGCGCACATTCACTTTGCTTCCAGGGAGCATCAACAGCGGCACAGGCAGCTGTGAGGCACACAAACAAAGTCAGTTTACACCACCCCTGATCAAGCCAGACCATAACAACGGAGCTCCATAGCTGACGAGCCTCAGGCATAACAAACAGCGCTTTGATTTGGGGTTAAACATCCCATTCCCCTCAACGCACTCACACACATAAACACTGCCTTCTATTGTGTCAGGCCCAGCAGGCATCATGTGACGGAGCGCTGCTAGTTAGCTACCTGCCTGACGCAAACAATAGAGCTGACTTGACTGGGAGTTTGTTACAGGGTGCAGAGCAGGAGTTACTATAGGCCAAGTGGAGGAGGTTACTCTAGGTCAGGCAAGGCATTGATAAGCCACTGAGCAAGGCATTCAACCTCTTTAAAGCTTTCACATCCTGGCCTGCTGTTAGTGTGGTGTTGTTGATTCACTCGACCAGTCATCTGTGACAACGAGGTTTAAATATGTAACTTTTCAACACTGCGCCTTTGTCCGAAACACTTGAATCCTGCATGCCCCGGTGTTGTGGGTTCCCATGTGTGTATGTTAACAGGTGTTCCTTCTGTCAGGTAAACATCTACTACACACGGAACAGTAAAACAAGTTAATGGGCATGTCTTGAGGTAACTCCAGTTCACTAATAGTTGTTTCTCCCTGAAAACCCTGAGGGCGAAGGAGAGGCATCAGATATGCACTCCTCCGAACGCCAGGAAAACATGACTTACAATAACAACCACTTCATCCAGAAGTAAACAGTGTACTGCTGCCATTTCTGCTAAACAACTGCAATTAAAACTCACCCTGTAACATACATGGGTTTGTCTGGTTAATCTAATCTACCGTCCAGCTGTATGATTACTTAGAAAACAAAAGTACAATGAGCTTCTAGCTCTACTTGCTTCTCCTCTATATTAAGCCGACAGCTTCTCGGACAGCTGTCCGGGGATCATCTGCTCAGGTGGTGTTGTGCTGCCTCAGCACCTGTCGAGCTCTGTCCCACGCTCAGGACATGAGAGAAACAAGTGTCCACAAACAACATGCGTGTTTGAGGCCGATTTGCTGGGAAGGATTTGACGAAATTCAAAAACGACTTCCCTAAAGCCTCATCCAGAGTGACAGGGTGTGTAAAAAAAAAAAAAAAAAAGATCCTTTACAAACCCCTCAGGTTTACACAGGGCCGTAACCAAGGTGACAAGACAGAAGAGAAAAGAATGGACACATAACCCCTGTGCTCAAACAAACGGGCAGATGACACAGAGAGTGTAATTCACTGTGACTCACACAACAGTGACCGGGCTCGACAGAATAACAGGACTTAAATCTGCATCGTGCTGTGACAGATCTCACTCATTAGCCTCTTTTTCACAGCCTGTTCAAGGCAGACTGTTGTTCCTTTGATCTGCTTTGACCTTCTGTATAAAACCTTAAGGACATGGAATTTTTTCACTAACAGATTAATATAGAACCGTAGTGGAGCAAAAATACACCTTTTCTTAAGCGTTGCAGGTCACTCCTAAGTTTGGTTCTTTCAAAAATAAATAAGTCATCAGTTTTAGTTCTTTCTCCCCAAACACTGTTTGACTTTGTGTCCAAATGTTTTAATCACTCCAATCCCAACAAAAAACACATAAATCAACCACTAACCAAAACAAATGTCTGCATATCTCTCTCAAATCCAGATCCTAATTGATTATTTTCATAAGGGGACTGTTTGGGTATTTGCTCTGTGGAGTGTCGATTCACCATTTCAAGGGCCGACATGCATCAGCACAGAGTCATCTGTGAAAAGAAAACAGTGCAGTCATCAGAGCATTGTGTTGGTTGTGTTCTTGAGTCTGGCCCTCGCCAGCACACCAGACACACAGACTGAATGTCAGGAAGTCTGAGCTCAGACCAAAGTCTCCTGTCCCACTTTCCCCGTTTCACATTATAAACACCTCCTCACCGCTTTGTCCTGCATAGAAATCAAAGTCTTACAGAGGCTTACTCATTTACAGTCATAATACTGCTGCGGAAGGTATAGACGCTATTCAAAACAGTGGCTGAGGAGGGAGAAGCAGGGGGGACCATGTGGAGAGCTGCAGCAAACTTTGAATACTTGATTGCCTGGCTGGAATAATTCAATTAAAGCAGGCCTGAAGACTGAGAAAGAATATCTGAAAATAGGTCAGTGGCTGCAGAGCTGATCTAAAGGGGATGGGGATGAGATAATTTACCTCATTTCTTCTGCACAGTCTTTTAACCATGAAATTCGAAACCCCAAAATATCCCAGTTAGTTCATTTGACGCAGCTCAGTTTGGAACATATTCTACCAGTATTTTAATGAATGCTGGGGCCAGAGGAAAAAAAAACCAACCTTTTAATAAGTCAACCAAACTTTCTGCACAGCTATAAAACCAAACCGAGTCTATTGTTTTTCTCTTAACGCCAGTATCTATACCCACGGCAGTATGTCAGCTGGCTCACTGCAGATGAGAACAAAACGTCCCTGCAAAGTGAAACCTAACACCTCTGCCTGGAGACTGCAACTCATCCAGCCAATCAACTGTAGAATTTCATGCTCTCAACAATGTGATTTGTAAGCTAGTCAAATGACATACTGCCAAGGGCTGTGAGGTTACTAACTGTCAATGAACTATAGTAAACCCTGCTGAACGTCTTCTTCAGAGAATGTCTGGCCTGAAAGGAAAGTCAAGAGGCTGCAATACTTGCCGAGGCTGTAATTGTGTAATTCAGCAGAAAGTTGTAAAATGTTAATTCTAAGCACTGAAGATAACACACAAGGCCTGGAAAGTATATATCTATAAAACAAAGAAGCTGTTTGTATGATTATTGCCTCTGGTTACGGACTGTGGCTTTGTACTGGATGGTAAACTGGTGATTAAAAAGCAGCATCTGTCCTAAGTTCAACAATTCGGCTATTCTTGGGCAAAGGCTATTAATACGTCTTCAGAGAAGGCAAAGCAGGGCTCGGTAACTCGGGTTCAGAACAAATGGAGGAAGAAAGAAACTAATGTGGAGGCTAATTAGTGATGGTGGAGAATGCAAATGTAGACTAATATATGTCGTGTTAACTTTACTTTGATTTTGCTGGTGAGCAAAAAAAACAACAACCTGTTTTGCAGAGCATTCAATTGAAGGCATGTCTGCATTTTGCCAGAGAAAAGGCTCTCATCTGGGCTTCCCTGGGAAAACTAATACAAGTTCAAACAATTTCATGAGAATGCCATGTTATGATGCACAGGAACTGTAGTGCTGGTGAAGTAAAATGAATCACCCTTCATGAAAATGTGGTGGTATATCCATAACTCAGTTTATCCATGCAACAAACACTACAAAGTGTTGGAACCTATCCCACCATGCACTGGGGATAGTTAAGGAAAACCCTGGAACAGATCAATAGTGAGTCACAAGGCGAACACAAAGATAGGCAAATGGATTAGTCTCCATCCCCCAAAGAAAAGCAATTCTGGTCTGCGTGTGAGGGAGACTCTCGTGTGATCGCATTTAGATTTTGTCTAAAAACCTTAGATTTTACTTCATGACAGTATTAGTTAATGTAATCTGCATGTGGAAAGAAAACAAGTAAGCCTGCATGTAAATATATTTTTGATAAACTCTTGCTGAGATGCAAAAAGGAAGTAATGATTAAACTTTTTTGCATTTTGGTTTGGCTGCAAGTTAAAGATAAGCTAAGCCCCAATAAGAGGTAAACAGGTTAACAATTGGGACCTCTGATAAAGCCTGTGCTTCAAGCTGTGCCCTTCGAGGGTATCCATGTTTGCCTGATGAGAATACTAAACACGAGGGCTAATGAAGGGGAAACATTCACATGTTTAAAACAGAAACATCCCCCATAGCAAGTGGTGTTAAATGATGCAGATAAGATGTTGTTGAGGCCCTCGGATCTGTCGCCTTTAACCAATAAAAAAAGTTTCCTGTAACAACACAACACATCCGTGGATTTTTCCAAATACTTTCCAGCTCAGGTCGTCGCTACTAAAAAAGAGAACAAATTAAGACAAAGTGTTCAAACAGTCAGCTGCATGTGAGCAAGAACACTCAAGTGAACTGCCTGGCTTTATGTGGCTGTGGAGTTCACAGCCGCTTATATAAGCAGCTCTGAGCGCGCTCAGTCCAGGGCAGGTTATGTAATAAAGCCTATAAGAAGGGCGTAGATGGGCCCCCCCCCTCATCTCAACAGAGAGTTGTGATACCATATAGGCCCCTTTGCATTGCCCTATACATTGCTAAGAACATACTCCAGCCCACAAACACTTGTTAATAACTGAGCTGCAGCAACATGCTGCACTGTTTTGTCGAGTGGGTGAACTTAGGTTTCAATTAATCTTAAACTTGTTTACCGACTAAGATTATCTTTAACTTTGCTTTCCACTTTAAATTTAACAAGCATGCTATGGAAAATGAATTTTCTTCAGCCAAGAATTAGACACATTCCCAATACAAGTTGTTTAGATCTGCCTGGGAACATGCAGTTGGAGCAACTTGTGTGGACGACTTAAGTAGGTCAAAGGTGAGAGCACAAGAAATAAGGGGAAAAGGACCCATGCAGATCCCCAAAGCACCGATCTGATTCAAAAACATGAGGATGAATGATACATAACATTAAATATACATGAGCAATTCACAGAAATGCCATATATATGTATATACATGACCCTTTTAAAGGCAGTATAGTCTCCACTATATGTTGACCATTACTGTCCACAGTTAAAATCTCCCCGTCATCTCTAAACACTGAACTTAGACTGCATTACATTTCATTTAACTGATGCTTTCATCCAAAGACTACCACACAACTTTAATAATATAACATCTATTGAATGCTGCCAACAGTAGCAAATAACTTAAAAGCATGATGTTGCATGCACCATGCGTGAGGGTCTATTTGCAGCAACTCCACATACCCCTGCCTGCCACCTCTCATCTTTATCTCACCTTTTTTCACAACCCCCATGACCCCCGTCCAACGCCAGCCATCTGTTGATAACCCCTGCTAATCTAGTGGAGGTCAGAGCACAGGCAGCCAAGTATCCTCCCCCTCCGCCGCTGCCTTTCACTTTCTTCTTCTTCAAAAGGGCTGCCAAATATGGACCAGTGTTTGAAGAGGTGGAGGGCAAGATGGACGGACAAGGAGAACGTTTTGGGAAGGGACAGTTTGTATCCAGCGGACATAAAAAAATGTTTTTGCAAGATGGAGTGAGGTTGATATCTTTCTAGAGAAGAGAGGGAGGAAGGGACAAAGAGCTGATAGTGGTGGGCAGTGGGTGAACTTGGGAGAAAACAAGAGAGCCGGCTGGAATGCCAGACAGAATCCTGGCCAAGGCAGATACATGTCTGTTTAATGAACAGTACTTGAGGCAAGCTGTGTGTGTGTGTGTGTGTGTGTGTGTGTGNTTGTATTTCACTCCGCTCAGAAAAACCTGTGTGTGTGTGTGTGTGTGTGTGTGTGTGTGTGTGTGTGTGTGTGTGTGTGTGTGTGTGTGTGTGTGTGTGTGCGTGCGTGCGTGCGTCAGCCTGGCTGGTGTGAGAGAGAGGCAGAGGGCGAGAGGCAGAGGGCGAGAGCAGCGTGGCAGAGCTTAAAAAGACACCAAAAGATTCCCCCCTCCGGTTTGCCCGCGCTCCAGAAGCAATCCTGCAGCAGCAAACACTTGTGACACTGCCTGGAGGGAAAACAAGATCTGCAGCATCACACTAGATACACAAGTTTATTTTTTTACCCACGGGTTCTGAAGGCAGCGAGTGCACTATCTACTTATAACATAAAAGAAAAGTGGGGCTGGGGGATACGGAGTCTGGATCTCGTGTTGTTCTGACTACAAGCTTTGTTCTTTTACTGATACGGCAGAGAGGTGAGATGCAACTATAAGATGTTACTTGTTATGCAGAGTCTTTTGCTACCTGATTATTTCCTGAAATAAATAATAAAGCCATCATATTTCAATTGCACATGTAATTCATATCCTGATATTTTCAAAAAACATCACAACACGATTATGAAAACCAGCTGGGGCAGTGACTCATGATGGTGATATACTTTTGGGAAAACAAAAACCAAGACAACACCCTGCACTGAGCCTGAGGCAAAGTTTCCAAAAAGCATCTGCACAAATGTCAGACCGGGGGCTGTTGCTTTTGTTCAGACAAAAATGGCCACAAAACAATTGACACAAAAAAAGCACAACAGAAGTTATTCTGAGTTGAATGGGGGCAGTGGCAGAGTTCTGCGGCTGTCACACAGGGGGTCCCTGGGGGGTTAGCCTCGGAGCAACACAGCCCCAGAGCTGCTGGCTCACATTTCCTGTCTGCTGCTGCATCAAAATGACCGGTAGTAACCCCGGAAGAGCTCAGCGAAGAGGTTACTCCAGGGCATTCAGCTGTACTGGCAACAAAGTGATCAGATTATGCGCCGCAAGCTCGCTAATGATAGCTTTGTGTTTTCCAGCATGTGTTCCTCATTCCGTGTCACAAGGAAATAAAACAATAGACCACATTTAAGAGGTGACAGGTGGATCTGCAGGGAGTTGCTGTGAGTGTGTCGCTGAGAGGAAGTGATTAAACAACTATATCTGCTAATTTGGCTTGGAAACAAACGTGACAGCTTTCATGCGGCGCACACACAATGGATATGCAGCGCGTGAGCCGGTAAACAAACCTCGTCTGTTCCTGCAGAATGAGATGGGGCTCCACAAAGAACTTGACCCGCAACCTCAGTCGACACGGCGTCACGTTATCCATCTGCTGGCATATGCGGTTCCTCAGATTCAGCCACAGGTTCTCGCCTTTGCTGCCCGTGAACTGCAGCCCAAAGTAGTCCACTTCAATTATCCCCAACTTTCTGCAAACCTGGAGGGAGATGATAGAAGTGGTCACAAAGGTGGATTTTAGACAAAGTGTGCCAGTTAAACACAAGTACAGTATTATGTGTGACAGAATCCAATGTGCATTTTAAATCATTTCATTGCTATAAATACAGAATCTCTGTACCTGACATGTATAAGCCTGCATTGTCAAGGTGGAACATTTGGTAAAGTCCTAAACAACTACGTTCACTATTACTTGTGAGTTGAAAAATTTATAGTATCATATTCGAAACCACTACTGATAAAATAGACAGGATAATTTGTTTTTTGCTTGGTTTATCAGTTAAATTTTGTGTTTTCATGTCATGTCCCCTTTTGTTGTACTCCACTATTGTTGTACTCCATGGGAGAGGGGTAAAAATTCACCGGAGAGTTTATTTACTCCATTTGGTTTGTCAGAATAAATGGAGATCACCTCCAACGACATTCATGGTGTGCACCATGCGTGCCTTTCCATCAAATTAATCACACCGCAGATGTCGCTATACTCCACCGGCTACCAAAGCTCTTTAAGAACTCTAAACAGTGTGGAAAAGAATGAAAGAGGACATATATCCAATCATTTAGAATGTTTTCACAGCACCACAGAACAATCAGAATCAGAAATACTTTATTAATCCCTGGAGGGAAATTCAAACAGGCACAGCTTTGAGATTTAAAAACAAGAAATGTCCACACAGCAGTTGAGGCTCATACAAACTTTTTTATTAATTCCCAAATAGCGTTTCAGTGCTACTCCAGCTAAATCCTGATTTGTGGGAGCCTTAACTGGTGTGCGGACCTACTGCTTAACAAGTTTGGATGCACATGTTTTCTGAGTTTCGAGATGTTTTGCACACTAAGATGTCCTTGACTGAGATAGTCAACAGTCACTGGAAAGCTGGTGAGAAATCAACAAGAATTCCTAAACAGCGCTTGTGTGTTTCTCAGAGGAGAGATGTGCTTCTACCACTTTGCTCCTGTGCTCATTTTATGCTCCTCTCACACACAGATACAACTATATTCCTCAGCTCATGATAGGGTGCAAGTGAACTGGTTGGAGCAGGCTCTCTCGGGGTTAAATAAATAAGTAAATAAGGGGGCCCATCAAACCCACGCCCCCCTCACTCAGCAGCAGCCATTACATAACTGCTGGTGAGCGTCTGCAGGAAGCCCGGGGGCTGAAATAGAGCTCATTCATACCCAGGGCAAGATGGGAATATGGCATGCATACGAAAAAGCTTTGCACTTTATTAGCAGGGATTGGAATAAACAACTTAAGGCAGCAGACGAAAGTGTGTGTG